GGGGGGGGCAGTTGGGGGGGGAGCCTGAGAGGGAAGAGAGAGAAGGGGGAAGATGAGTCCCAGGAAGAGAAGGTGTTGGGAACAGGTGAGGGGCAAGGAGAGAGATTTTGGAGAAGGACGTGATGTGCGTCCTCAGAGAGAAGCTGCATTTGGGAGACATGGGGCTGCGACAGTTTGGGGCCTGGGAAGACAGCGCTGTCAGGAAGCTGTGCGAGCAAGTGCCTGGGTGTGGGAGGGGGAAGACAGTGGCGGGCCAGGATGAAGCAAGGGTTCCCAAAGCCTCTCCTGTCCCCAGCGGCTCCTCCCCTGGGGACCTGCTCTGTGGCGAGCTGACACTTGACCCCTATACGGTGGGGAAGCAGTCTGACCCACCTTGTGTAGCTCTGGCTTCTGGCTAGATGGCTGGCAGAGGTGGGGACCACGAGGTCTCCTCTGCCTGGCGTCCACAGGCCACAGGGACCGGCTCCTGGACAGTCATGCATGCCAGCCAGCTGGGCAGCGCGCTGTCCCTGTGGTGAGGCCGCCCCTGCTCAGCCCTGGGTGCCAGGGGTTAGGCAAGTGCTGCTCAAGGTACCTGGGAGCCAGAGGACAATCCCAGTTGGTCACTCAACAAATGCTGGAGGGATTCTGGTTCCTGGGGCTCAAGGATGAGACAGCCTCCAAAGGGCCACAAGCAGACTGTGCCCCATTTATCTAATCAAGCCATGTATTCACAGAGTCTCCCGTCGTCCACTGGCCCCACTCCGATCTAGAGCTCCCACGGAATGCGGCCACCCCAAGGCTTCACCTCCACATGAAGCCACGTTCTCTGGGACTCCTCACAGACCCCGTTGGGGTCACAAATGCCCAACTTGGCCAATTAAAACAAACTGGATTCAGTTAACTCCCATGCTCCCCTCTTCCCTGGATGTGGGACTTCACCCCCTCCTCTGTGCAGTTCACCCCCTCGTCAACCCCTCCTGCTTCAGAGCTGTAGTGAGGGTTACAGTTCAGCCGTGCAAAGAACCCAGCACAGTGCCTGGTGCAGAGTGAACAGCTGATGAACGTTAGTTGTAATTAGAATCATTATAAAAACATGTTTAAAGGCAGAACGGCAAGGAGCTGCGGGGCGGGGAAGAGGGCCCTGAAAACGGTCTACAGCAGTGCTCTCGGAGTGTGGTCGCGACCAGCAGCATCACCACCCCCTGGGACCCTGTTAGAAATGCAACTCCCAGGCCCCGCCCCGGAGCTGCTGAGTCAGAGATGAGCCGGAGGCTGTGTTCCAGCGGGCCCTTCGGGGGCGGATGCTGGCTCACTGGAGAGCCCCCGCCCTGGGAGGTGCTTCTGGGTGTGAGCTGATGGGTCTGGCCCACTGGTTCTGGATCCTCAGACAAGCTGGATGACACAGTGAGGACACTCCATCTTCCCCTTGAAAAGACACCTGTGATGACCAGGTCCTGCCCAACTCCTTCTTCTGTTTGGGAGAAGAGCCCCAAGTCACCACTCCAGAGGACAATTGTTGGGGTCTCAGTTTGGCCCTGATGAACCCAGATATAAATCTATATTCCACAGTCCCCCATGAAAACCTGCACCACGAGCCTTGCTCTGAAATTAAAAGGAGACTGGTGGCCTTTAAGAGACTGAACTAACTCCATGACCAGATCACTTGGTAAGAGGTGAGTGCCGCTGTGCTCGGCTGGCTTTCACGGAATTTAAAGAATTAAACTTAAGGAGTAAATACACCGTGATAAGATACCTGAAACTGATACCCTGATGCAGGATTTCTTTTAACAAATCTATTTGCTAAGCAAAGACGATGAAAAAGTCATCATTCCTGGAAGCTGATACAGTGCCCAGGGCACAAGCATATTCAATACTGTCTCATCAAAGATGGGGTCATGTTAGGAGAACTTTCTCAGAACTCTGAAGGAGTATGTGGGAGTCTCAACTAATTGATGGGGAACACAGAATTAGCACAGACACTTATAGAGCCTGTTTATTGCATAACTAGCAGGCACAAATTCCAAAACGATTTTACAACGCTTAAAGGGTTGTACAATAATTACAGGAATAGAATGTACAATAAAAATGGAAAACAAGTTCAGAAAAATGGGTGACATGGATTAAAAACACATTTGAATAGAAGGCATCTCATTTTTCCTATGCAGCATTTTCTTTTGTAAAAACAAGGGTGACCTTCAACCGGGACAAGGAAAGAACGAACATTGTTTGGAGAACTCACAGCTGCTGTGGAGGACAAACACGTGCTAGTCTCACTCTTGGTTCTGCAGCTGAAATCTCTTGACGAATTGGACAACAGCTCCTGAGTTGTGCGTTTACAGTTCCAATTACACGAAAGGCTATATTTGATCTTTGGGCCTGATTCCTTGTTCTTTGGCAAATAAGAACTATTTGCATTTGAGGCAGAAGATGACTTCAGTTGAAGGAGCTTTAGGGGTGGGAGCTGTCTCCTCTTCAGCAAGTGCCAGTTTTGTAAAGTGCACCTGTGTCCTACCAGCTTTGGGAGCAGGGTGGGGATTTGAAAATAAAGGGTAAAACAATGACATTACAGAACACACACATTAGTGCAAGGCTATGGAACCCATGTGCAAAAGGCAGTGAACAACCGTTCAGACAAGGTGCGATTGGCCAAAAGGACCAGGGAACGTCAGATACCGGGTCTCAGGTGAGGCCGAGGCAATGCGCAGAGCACTTAAGGAGAAGGAAGGCGTGCAGCCCTCCTCCTACGACACGTCACTCCACCTGGGAACTTCTCTCCGGAGTTTTGGCACTGTGGATTAACAGAGCAAACGTCTGTGGTGTTTAGACCTGGAAATACTTTGTTGGTCTCCAAGTTCCTTGACTTCCTCTAGGGGCACACAGAAACAAAGTCCTCCATCACAGGTCTTTGAGTGTTCGAGTGAAGACACCGCGTCACTCTCCGCAGAGGACTCCTTATTCAGAAGCCCGTCCTCCCTGGGAGGCCAAAGGCACCAACTCAAGACTGCTGCTGGGCCTTTCCGGAGGACCCCACATGGGCTCAACAGGAGGGCGGGTGTTTGCAAGAAAGAGGAGGGACAGAAAAGGTTATCAGACAGTGCTTGAACTTAAGGTAGAAGACATCCTCTGAGAAGGCATACCCTCAGCATCCAACAGGAGCATGGCACTTAGGCTTGTGCAGACAATCAAGTGGATGAGTCGTGTGGAGATGTGGACCCTTCCCCCACGCTACTCAGTATAGCAAAACCTGGCCAAAATGTTCACACACTCAGTAAACCAAACACCATCGTCGTGCTCCTCTTATGACCGCTTATGGTCAAGATATAAAGGTAACTGTAAATAAAACAGTTCTGTGAAAATACAGGCTTATTTAGCACGGATTTAGGCAACTTTGATTATTTTGACTCCTTCACGTGTGTAAATGAGCACCTTGGGACAGAATGTACGGGTAAAGCAAGGACTAACAGCAACTTAACACAGGGTAGGGTGGCCACGTTACAGGGTAAGGCTCAGAGGCTAAACCAGGTGTGACCAGGGAAGCCAGGCCCTCACAGTGCAGCTGACAGGGCCCCAGAGCAGAGGCTGTGAGCTGGCAACCTCCAGGCCATAGCTCACCCACATGTGCGCTGTGAAGATGTTTAGGTCAGTTGCCAACATTTATACACAGAGAGATGGCACAAAAAACATCCAGATTTCTGGTGTCTCTTGAGAAATGAAAGCGCTGGCAACGCCGGGCCCACTTTTGCACATGGCAGCCTGAATGGAGCTGGGGAGCTGCTGTGCCCCCTGGCTGTGCCATGGGAGTCCTCACTGTCCCCGCCCCCACTCTGCACCTAGCTCACTGTATTCCTCTTCATCACTACTGCCTGGCCCCTCTGGTCTAGGTCAGGGTCTGAGCCACACCCACATAAAACGGCTGTAATAAGTGAGGACAGGAAAATGCATTAACATTTGGAACAAGAAAGGCCTTTTGAGCAACTCAGAAAACAATCTCAGTATGTTCCAGAACTTAAACCTGTATGCTCTCATAGCTTTGGGATAGCCGGCAGTCAGCTAGAACACCCTCTCTAAGGAATTCTCGAAAGCTGATGTCTAATTTTTAAGTACCAGTGAGGTAATGGAAGAGAAACAAACTCAGATGATTGTATAAATCTTACCTTAGAAGAAGTCCTTAAAGGTGACGAGCTATGTGGAGCAGGTCACATGAGAAAGCTTAATGGTTAAAGGAGTAACCGAGTTTTGGGTGAGATACAATACCAGGTCAGGGGGTGTAGATTATTTCTCTTCCATGGTTTGTGGCAGTGAGAGCGGAATGGGGTGGTACAGACTGAGTTACGGCCTGTGAGGCTGATGCTCCTCTTTGCTGCATGTCTGGAATGAAAACAGCTAGTTTCCTGTGGTAAGGCAGAGCCATGGACTGACTACGCATCATCATGTGGTGGTGCTCCTACCTAGACGTGGCCGAATGACACATGACGTGGAGGATGAGTACTTGCTAACCAGACGCCATGGAGATTTCAGGACGACAGTAAAATAAAGAGACAGACGATCAAGACAGAAAAATTACAGAACATCTAACGGGATAGAACAGTTAAAAGAAATGGAGCAATTCATAGTTTCCTTCCAAGAGAGATCGTTAGACTAGTTTTAGAAAGTGGCAAAGTCCCGTCTCTACATACATGCTTGGAGATACTCCAAACTTATAGAGTCTTAGAATAGGGTTATTGCACAATGCTTGGTAGGGAACAGATAATGTTGATTTTTTTTTTTTAACCCAACTCTCTCAAGAAAATGTTTCACTAAAAATCTCATTTATAATTTTAACCATAGGCAGGGAGTTTTAAGGGCTGGAAAAGTTCTAACACACTTGCAACAATGAAGCTATGCTTTTGGATGTCTATGATCATTAACTCCACGGTCACTGACAGCACAACAGGACATGAGAAAGTAAGCTGGCAAACAGGCACAAAATAAGGCAAGTGGGTTAAATTAATAGTTGAAAATTTGTTAGAAAACATGCAAAAATAATACTGAGTTTTTTTAAAAAAAGTTTTAAACTTCCATTAAATGTTTGTTTCTATAAAAATCGGAAGAGTTCCATGTCTGAATTTGAAACCGGACTTGGAAAAGCCTAGAAAATAGAAGGGCCAGCAGTCCGCTGTTCAGTTGTTGTTCTCTTTGGTGGTGATGGTGACCAGCTGTTTGGCAGCCTTGGCGATGTCATACGCACACTGGATAACCTGCTGCGTGACCAGCTGGATGTCCGTGGGGGGGCCGGAGTCCCCAGGCAGGGTCTTCTTGCACTCGGACTGAAGTCGATAGGCACTGGATGTCAGTAAGCGAAGGGAAGTCCTCACCATGTCAGACTTGGGTTTCTAAACAGAAAACGCAGCCGTTCACCAAGAACTGCAGGGTAGACAACCAGGAGCAGGGAAAAGCATTCCTCTGAAAACAACTTAAGCTGTTCCACAGGGACAGCAGTTTTGTTGCACTTGTTCAATGGGTGCTCAGAACACGGCAAGCACTGCAAACCCGTGTGAGAGATGCTGAAGCACTCTAACTCAGACGTCTAAGTGCACGCAGTGTCATTTTAGGAGCATGTGCTATTCTGAGGCAGTTTTTGAAAAATATTAATCCACTTGGATAAAATACCCCAGATAAAATTTTACATTACTAATGTTTTTTTGGCACTGGGCTCAAGCATGCTTGTCTTATAAAACCAATATTCATGTAGAACAAAAATATTTCAATGCCCTATATTACTGTTTGCATATTTAAGACTCTTTGTGCTACAAAAAGATTAATAGAATATAAAGGTCAAAATGAAATTTCTTGCAGTTCATTTAAAAGGACCTGAACCAAGTAAGTAGGGAGTGACTTACTTTGGGGAATAATGCTGCCATTTCTGTAACAGCTACGTGTATCCTCTCTGAGCATGGAATATAACTGCAAGGATAGAGAAGAGGTTATTTAAAGACAGTAAAAATAATTCAGAGACAGAGAACACTCAGAGGTCAGCACAGGTTCCATTTATAGTCCCTTAACGAAGGGGTTAAGGCCACAGCCAGCCTGCTGTGGATCCCACACAAACAGAAGGCACTCGGTTTTAAAGCAGGGTCCCCATACTTTTTTGAAAGTTCATTCAATCTAATAAAATCAGTCTCCAAGTATGAAGCACGGGCAGCATACACTACTAGCCAGGTGAGGCCATAAAACAGTTAATCTTATGAAGACAGTCACACCTCCTTAAGTTGGTCTTTTATTTCTTGTGTTTCATCTTCCCAATTTCTTGAAAGTGAAACAGGGATTTCCATGCAAAAGGCCACAGAAGTTAAAAATTAAAGACTGAAAAATAGTCCTTAGAATTGGAGCCTACACCTCAACACCCACATGTCTTTTAACCAATTGACACTTCTAAACTGCTTCCGTTCATGCATTTGAATTGTTGAGATGTCAAAAGCTTTACTTTGGATAAAGAGGAAACACTGAGGTCAGCTTCATATACTTGTTCAGACACTTACCCACTTTCTCATGAGGTCACCCTGACTTTGTTTGTAATAAAATGCTGTGAGCAGTCATCACTCTGCTTGTTGACAAGCTCAAAGGAGACAAGCACATTACATTTACCTGTCCTCAGCCTTTCTCCCAGGCCACAGGGCCTCTTAAGGGCCTGAGATGACACCATGAGAGCTGAGGCTTCAGGAGCATGGGCTGCATGCCAGGCTCCCTTCTCAGTGCTTTGCAGAGACTTATGGGAGACTTATCCTCCCAACAGCCCTATGAGGTTGGTACTACTGGGTTGCTGGAAAAGTCATGATGTATTTTTTCTATGATTTTCGTTGCAGAAATGCGTCATGACTTTTCCGACAACCCAATATGATCACGCCCACTTCTCGAATGAGGACACTGAGGCCTGGAGAGGTGGAGAGCTTGTCCAAGGTCCTACAGTTGGTAAAAGAGGTGAGATCAACCCTGGCCATCCAGCATCTGGGCCCGGGACCCTCACGGCCACACCACAGGGCTCTCCTGGCATCAGACAGGCAACAGATTCACATCTTTTTTACAGCAAGCCTCTTTCCATTGATGACTGGTGATTCTGACATCTTAAGTGATGAGAATTGGAAGAACTGAGACTTTGGTTTCATTCTCAATTCTTATTCTTAGCATTGTGACAAGCAACATAGAGGGCTAGTTCCCTGGACCTTAAAAATGTTAGGTTTCTGCCCTGAGTAGTACATGTTACAAGGTGCAGAGACAAAGACAAACTGAAGATGGTATTAAGTGGCAGTTCTTAGTTACCACATTGCCACCAGGCCTGGGTTCTGCTTCTAAAAGAACTGACCCACAGAGCCCAGGAGGGAAATGGGACATGGGAAAAGCACTTTAGGGGCCTGTTTTTAGCATGTTGGGAAATAGGGTGTGAACACACAGTTTGGGCCTGACACAAGAACCCACGTGGTGTGTTTTACAATTTCCCTTCTAAGATACAAAACCAATGCTGTTTGGCATCCATCCTAGCACTTAAAGCCCTCAAGTGATGTGCTTTCCCCATATTTTAAGTCATGAAGTTGGCTTCTGCTTAAAGATCGTCATCAGCGACCTCTGTACTTCATCTTTGTAAGAAATCTAGTATCAAAACTATTTCAATAAAGATTGTCTACGTTTCAATGAAACCATTACATTTCAAGAAAACGGTTTACATTATCTCAAAATGCCTTCAAGTAGGAAATCCTGACTTTTACCTTTGTTAGCAATTAGAACCATACACCATGTAATAACAAAAGTGGCAATGCATGAGTTATTTAACTTACAAACATGAAGGGGCAACAACCCATTTGGTCACATAGACACTCGGAGAAAAAGGCAATGTGCACAGCAACCACTGTATCAGACCTAAGTGTTTCTTGAAATAGTATGTCCATTAATATCACAGTAACTGAGAACCACCCCTAAGAGTTTTATGTTTTGCTGGTAGGGTTTTCATTTTGACCCAGAAATAGAATTCCCCCTGCTAAACAGAGAAATTTTTCCTAAGGACAGCTCTCAAAAACTTATTCACTATAAGATATTTAAGGAAGTCCTCAAAAGAAAGCACACAGTTTAATGAGAAAGTCTTCCTCCTCTTCCAGAGGGAGTTCATGTTCAGAACTTCAAATTATCTTTCTTCAAAAAGGCTTTTGTGCATAATATGTGGTAATCATGAATTGTGTAATTGTGCATGTGTGTGTGCACACACGTGAACATGCATGAGAGAGAGAGAGAGAGAGAGAGAGAGATAGGCAGGGAGCAAGGCTAGAGGCCCAGGGGATGGGAACAGGCTGAGGGAAGGTCAGGGGCTGGGAGGAACTTGCTCGGCCCAGGGGACCAGGACCAAACCTGAATGTGCCCATATGGACTACTGGTCTACTTAGGATGAACGTAAGCAATGGATCAACAACAGGAGAAAACAAGAGGGAAAGATATGGGTTTAATTAGTACAATGCAAGGTTATAAATGAAAGCACCTTGGATATGTAACTAACAAGAGATTTTACCAGAACATCGAACAATTTGTAAAATATAAATTCTCTAGACCAATTCTGGTTTAAACCAAAAGAATGAGCTAGGGCCATCCAAGTGGCTCAGTTGGTTAAGAGCGCGAGCTCTGAGCAACAGGGTCACCAGTTCAATTCCCACATGGGCCAGTGAGCTGCGCCCGACCTGAGCTGCAGCTGAGCTGCCAACAGGTGGCAGGATGGCTCCGCTGCTGAGAGCATGTGCCCCTAACAACAAGGATGCCAGTTTGACTCCCGCATGGGATGGTGGGCTACGCCCCCCACAACTAAGATTGAATACGGCACCTTGAGCTGAGCGGCCGCGGGCTGCCTAAGGGCGGCCGGATGGTGACTGGGCTTGGAGCTGAGCTAGCTGAGCCTTCAACAACTAAGATTGAAGGACAACAACTTGACTGTTCCCCTTCTCCAATTCCCCAACTCTGTTCCTCTTCCCCAATTCCCCAATAAAGTCTTAAAAAAAAATGAGCTAATGATTCAAATCTCTGTATCATTCTCTCATGGTCTTAAAAAAGGAAATCAGATCATAACACTTATTGAATTCGTACATTAAAAACAACAACAACAACAAAAAACTTCCCCAATTGTACCAAGCACCATATTGCAATCTTTGAAGCCAGAAATGGCCTCAGGGCAGATATTTATATTTTTGACAAGTATCAAAGAGAGCAATGCAAAGTAAGCACATTTTTTTGTTTGTTGGTTTGAAATGTAAGCATGGCATTTCTGAACTGGGGGAAATGAAAAGCGAAGCATGTTGTTAAATGGAGGGAGAGCACTAGAAAATGAGCTCATCTGGTATCAAGATCACTCTAAGGACTGCACTTGGAAAGCCGGGACACATTTTGCTTTAGTAAATAAGATAATGAAGTAGCTTGTTGCCAAGGCTGTGGTGCGCTGAGCAAAGGAACTAAACACCTGTGAGGCATGAAAGGCGTGCGATAAAAAGGATGCGTGGGGAAGGAGGAAGATAAAGAGCTGTGTAATTTTCATGGAAGGAAGCCGAGAAATTATGCCGGTTCCTCTTTCTCTCTGAGGATCCTGCAGCAGTCTGGCCATGAGACTAACTCATCCTTCCATAAACACTGACTTCCTCTCCTACCGGGTGGGAAATAATGACACTGGGAGAAGTCTTAGCTGTATAAAGAAAAGGGAAAAGGACAGGAAAAGGGGTTAGCATGGCAGCATCAGGAACTCAAGAGAACACAAAAGACACTGGGGCACCTTTACGTGGAAGAAGAGAACAGAGAGGAGAAACAGCAGCACTGTGGTCCCTGAACAGTTGTTTGTACAAGGCACGGAGAGAATTCTTCAAGGAGGACCCTCGATTTTGCTGACCTAACGCAAAGAAGGAGAATGTTCTTCAGTTTTGGCCAAACGTTGTCGTTTTCCTAAACTCCGTGGGGTGATGTTACAGTGTTTCATCAGTGTGTCTAGATCAGGCCGGCCACGTGAATCTAGGACATCCCCCAGAACAGTTAACAACTTACCCGAAGTTCTCAGAGGACCAAAGGATGAGTTAGAACAAGAGCCAGTGAGCAGGAACTCTGCTGATAATATGGTTCTGCTCAGAGTTAAGCAGATGCTTCTCTCATGAGCAGACAGTTATCTGGATTGTGATTTGATCAGCTGTGGCTTGTAAACTGCTTGTTTCTTAGACTTTCACACACACACACACACACACACACACACACACACACACACACACACACGAGACAGGTAAGGAATCAGGTTCATTTCAGGATACCTTTTATGGCAGCAGACTTACTCCTAGCTAAGGAGGTCACAGGGAGCAGCAATGGCGAGAAGAATCAACTGCAAGTTCTCAGGTAGCTCCTTCCCCCGTCCATCTAGAATTAGGAATATGACCACCCCAGCTATGCTGCAATTCTATTCCTAGAGGCATTTATTTTCAGAGCACTTCAAAACAAGATGAAAACTGAAAATACCATGTAAAAAAACAAAAAAAACCCAAATTTACAAATTTGTGCTTAAGCCTATTACATAATCCTGAAATTTTTAAAAAACCTTTAAAATCAGAACCAAAAAAAATTCCCTCATAGTAACTGGAGCAGCATCTCTTCCAGAGCACGTACACACCTTCTCCCAGGGAAGGATGTTCAAGCCCCTTACCTGTCATGTTTATTTTCTTGGGCTGCTCTCAAGAGCTCCTGTATGTTTTTGGTGATCTGTTCAGTCTTCCGGATGACGTCCTCAGTGCTGGGGAGAACGGGGCTTGGGACTGTGTGGGGTTCTGCCATATCTGGTGCTGAGCTGTCACCTTGCCACAGGATACTCCTCTGCCTTCCCTTCCTGCTTGACCTGTGAACATTGAAGAAGTGGCTAAATGCAGCAGGAGCTTATCAGCTGCTTCTCTGCTCCTAAGAGCCACTGCGTGTGCATCTGCTGAATGCACGAGCAGGCTGCTTTTGTGGTTTCCTTTATCCTGTCTGGCAGGAGTCTCATGGTGAGGCTGTTTATCAACAGGTAGCCACAGCTCATAGGGAGGCTGGTTTATTCTACCGTGGGGCTGGAAACTATGAGTCTTGCAGAAAGGGTCAAGATGGGAAAAGGGAGGGAGTAACTGGAAAGGGGAGGGTGTGCCATTTTAAACGCATCCCTAATTGAGTCAGTTCCTTGGGGTACAAATGCAGAATATAACCTAACATTGACTTAACACATACAGAGACCAGACACGTGTGTAACATGCAGCTAAAAGAAAAAAAGGCCCCTGTGGCGATAATGGGATATGAGAAGGGGTGTGAACTATGAACTTATGCCTCAATATTTTAAGACCTTATGGGTCTGAAAGTAGACAAAAGGGGTGCAGGTGATGAACTGCATCTCCTGACCACGGCCTGCTAGTTCTCTGGTTTAGGAGCCCAACCCCCGGTACATCCTTCCTGCAGATGTACCCCATGTCATCTGGGTCTGTGTCATTAGGAGTGTTGTCATAGTCACTTTCAGGTGTGCTGTTCTGCTTCTCCAGCCTGGATGCCTACAAGAGAGAAAAGGTGACCTGCATTACTGTAGAGTACAGGACACTTCTTAGGGGCCTTTCCCAGGAATCATTACCTGTTAGGCTACATGGCCTTCATGTTCCAGATCTCATTTGGGACAGAAGCCAACACTTTATTGAAAATTTAGTAAAAGATGAACAATGGATCCAAAAATGGTCTCTTTCCTTCTTTGCACCATTTTCTTCTTAGCTCAGTGGCTACTCCATAAACAGATCCTTGGTACAAACTAACACAGACACACAAGGCAACACACCCACATTTATTTCTCTAAGGAATGTGAGTTTATAATATGACACCCATTTAAACAGAAAACATGGCAGCACTTATATACCCATAGACCTCCAGCGCTAGAAGCTGCCTGCAAATTATCTAGTCTAACGCCAGTAGAGAAAATGAAGGGCCCGTGAGAAAATGACCTACCCAAGGCCACACAGCAGAAAAACAGGACCACGAACCCCAGTCTCCTGTCTCCTGCCATCTTCAATGTTCCTTGCCTTGGGCTGAGGATCACCACTGCTCAAAACACATATGGCTCTCTAAGAACGACCCTCAGAGATGGTTTGTATGAGCCACACAAGAAACAGTATTGTTAACTTATTACCACATGTTGTTTGAGAACTAAATGGATTAACTCAGTGTGACACTTGGTTTCCAGCCACTTTTAACTGTTTCCCAAAACATCCAATGCTTAAAATACAAAGATTTGGTACAACTGTGGAGATTAAAAAATGGGACACAGATTCAAAATAGCAATCCTAAGAATATTTTGAGCAAATGGCAGCACTGCTAAGTATAGGGGCTTCCAGGGTGACAAAATCTGAAGAGGGCCACATTCCTTTGAAGGCAGCTAGGTTAGTTCTGGAGTGTTTAATAAAAACAATATTCCTTAGTATTTATTTTATCCATAATGTTTGAGAATTTCTTCATCTAGAACAGAAATCGGTGGAAGCTGATTTAAACTTAAACTGACCTACTGCAAAATACAAATATAAGCTATTTCCAGCTCTACACCTTCAATTTAATCCAAATTAATCAAACATGAGACTAAGGAATTTTACTGATACTACAATAAAATGTGGCTAAAGATAGAGCTATATAGTTGACCCTTGAACAATGCAGGTAGGTGTAAACTACACAGGTCCACTGACACAAATTTTTTTTTCAATTGACCCAAACAGTTCAAACTGCATTGTTCAAGGGTCAACTGGTGATTGGATCTGCATATGCAAAGGGCACACTTAAATTATAAGTGGATTTTCGAATACAGGGGTGGTTGGTGCCGCTAACCCCCCCGTGTTGTTCAAGTGTCAGCTGAAAGCTAAGAGTCTTGTTTAAACATATGGAGACCGTGTAACTTCATTTAAAAGAATGTCTTCTTCAGAGTAGGTCCGTTTGAGGAAGTCTACATAAAGTCTAATATTTGTTCCTTACTGATAAAGCTGCCTGGCCCTCTGGAGGCCCTATGTGGATAGGCAAGGCAGCCAGTCCCCCGCGGGGAAAGACTACTTGTTCACATCACACTTTGCTCAATATCCCTATTGCCCCTCTCAGGGCACATGTTCTCTCATTGTCTGCTGAGGTCTTTCACATTCCCCCCAAGCACTCCATTTGGTTCTAGCCACTCTAATACAAAACATTTATACTGGGCTCCTAAAATTCATTATGAACTTTACCCACTCAAATTCGTCTGGCAAATGATTACAAGTGTGAGCTTGGAGCCATATGGAAAGTCTGTAAAGCTACGTTCCGTAAAACCTGCTACAACTTTTAAGGCCCCTTTGTTCGTATCGCCTATCAGCAGGCAGTTCAGCTTCACCTGCTGCCTTATTTTGGTCTGGCTGTATGAAATCAATCAGTTATTGGCTGCTGGAGGTCTAGATGGAAGACCAAAGGCAGGCACTATATCCAGTGCACACAGGCTCTTCCGGAGGTGATCTCAAAAAACAAAAACAAGGGGCAGCCGGTCAGCTCAGTTGGTTAGAGCGTAGTGCTCATAACTCCAAGGTTGCCAGTTCGATCCCTACATGGGCCAAGGAGCTGCGCCCTCCACAACTAGACTGAAACAACTACTTGACTTGGAGCTGATGGGTCCTGGAAAAACACACTGTTTCCCAATTAAAAAACAAAACAATAACAACAAAAAACAAAACAGAAGACTTTCACAGGGAAAGTCTGATTAATCTTTAAATTTCTTTTCCTTTTAGTTTATATATATATATATATATATATATATATATATATATATATTCACACATGAATGTGTGTTTGTATGTGCATGCATGCACATACATATACATACATGTAGAGAAAAACCTTCCATTTAAGTAATTATTCTGGAAAATTCATCCAGAGCTGCTTCAGGGAAAATTCTAGAATATAGAGTTAAGCCCTAAAAATCCTGCATTTTTATAATGGATCTTTTTGCCTTTCTTGATGTAAATCTTGATAATTACAAATCAAATGCATCACCCCCACAATGACCAAAAGTACCAAGTTTCATTCAAACCTTTTAGAAGAGTAATAACTCATACATCTACTAGATGTACTCAGGAGACGCTTCTCAGGTGCTGAAAACAATGTAGAGCAGTAACCACTGCAAAAATCTTAATACTTACACATTAAGTCCTTCGTTGTAGTCAAACAAAAACATGTACAGGATTTCAAATTAGCCAACATTTAATTTTGTGACAATTATTGTAAACATGCAGAGCGAAGATCTATTAGTTAAAAGTGCTGCTCTCTCAAAGCTGTTAATAGAAAAATTACCTTATAGCTGGTGCTGGTTCAGTTTATTTAATAGATTTGCAGTTTTTTTCTGAATAGATGCCATAAAAACCTAAACTCATAAACGAAGTTGTCAGGGACCATCAGGATTATCAATTTAAATGACTTAATTGCTTGAATAAAATCTTGAATAAAATTCTGTTTCAGCAAACAGTCCTTGCAATGATTCTCAAAAGTACCCAACAAAATTTCTTTTTTTAAACAAATCACAGTGGACAAAAGAAGTTTACTTCTCTTAAACTCTATTAAACAAAATTTCAAAAGAGATATTTCATTTCTATTGACTATGCCTTAGTTTAACAAAAATATTGCAATAAAAACATTGCATGCAGCTCCATATCAGGACTGCTCAAAAAGCTAAGTATCATATATCGAGAATTCTTTTTAATATACTTCGACAGTGTAGACAGGAATCCCCAGAGGGCCTCGATGAGCCACATGGCACTGGCAATGGGAGAGAACGATTCTCCATCACTGCTACTCATGTGGAGGGAATGGACAAAGACCCAATGCAAACCCCACCATGTCTGCAAAGGTGGTCCCTCACCCACAGCCCTGTTACCTCCTCTCACCTCATTTGTACTCTCATTCTGTTAAAAAAAAAGAAAAGAAAAGAAAAAGAATGAGCTGGGACTTGTGTGCAGGTCTTCAAACTTTCCATGACTTTCTCGGCTTGCCATCATACACTCTTCATGCATGAAAGTATTTTAAATTGACAGTGCCAGGCCGGCCAAGTGGCTCAGTTGGTTAAGAACTCGCTCAAGAGTGCGAGCTCTGAGCAACAGGGTCGCTGGTTCGATTCCCGGCCCAAGCTGAGCTGCTGCTGAGCTGCCAACAGGTGGCAGGATGGCTCAGCTAAAGAAATAATAATAATAATAAAAATTAAAATTAAAAATAAATTGACAGTGCCTTTGGGAGCAGGGATGTCACCTAAGTCCCAAGGACCCTTTCACTGACTTACCAAAAGGCTGGGTGCAGAGGAGGTACTTAATAAATACTTATCAGGCTACTCTAAAAGGAGCTTACCTGAATCACATACTGTTACCAGGAATATACGTTATATATCAGAAATCTGGACTTGATCAATTAATAAAGTGAACAGCTTTATACTAACAGCTGCCTACACCTCCAATGCGGCTATGTGTTACAGTGCTGATGTGAGATGCAGAAACTGCAAAACCTTGGTTTGTCAAGTATGGTGCTGACACAAAATATGGCAAGAGGTAGTAAAATTTTAAAAAAACATGGTGTGTTACTTAGTGGTTCAGTTCATCCAGCTATGCCAGTTTCAATCTGAAAATGGAAGCTCTGAATAAATTTAACCGATTTCCCCTATTACAATATTTAACCAGCAGCCAGCTAATTTTCTGATTGTTTAAAAAGACAGTGTATGCTCAGAATAAATGTTACAAGGTGAACTGTGAACTTTGTTAAATAATACGTGAAAATGAGCAATGTGAAGTTAGACAAAAGGGAGGCCGCCTCCTACAGACATGCGTATGTGCATGCGTGTGTGCGTGTGTGTCCGTGCACGCTGCTGTTCTGTGAGACACCAGGAGGGAAGCGCTACCTCATGCAAGGCAGAGGGGCAGTTAGGGAGGGACAGGAGGGCCAGAAGCACAAAGCGCCAGGAGCACTGCCCCTCTTCCAGAGAGCAGACCATTCAGAGTGTACTTAACCCTTCGGCTGCTTTCATCCCTCGACCAGGAAAGTGTGGAGGGGAAGGAAGGCAAGGACGAAGAGGAGGTCACAAGCGCACTCCTCCCGATCTGGAAGGGGAAAAAGAAACACACTCGGGAAAATACAAACAAACAAAACCCCTACCACCTACCCTGGCTTCAGCCCATATTTCCCAGTAAAAAAAAACCCTAAAAAGCTACTCACTATGCGAGATTAGTGCTGAAATTTCTGTGACAGGTGGGCTCACTGCCACGCTAGCAGATGACAGATGCCCAGAGATGTTTAATCCCTTAGAGAAATGCCTCCCAGAAATTACTTGGAATTTATAAGGCTATTTTTCTGTAAGGCGGCAGATAATACCTAGCATAATTTGTCAAATTTGCCAATAGATATTTTTTAATAAACAGCCTTAAACAAATATCTGGTTTTTAATCAGGACATATAATATGAAAGGAGAAACTATATGAATGATTAAAAGTTGGTACAGGTTATCAATCTACTAGTATAGATATAGAACTTTTGCAATAATATGACATTCTTACATTGTAAATGTTCCTAAAATAAAAAGTACACTGTAAAAACTAACAAAAGTTGCTTTTCCTACATTTTCTTTTTAGTTATACAAAAACAAAATTCTAAACTTAGTTCAATGACATTCCCATTATACCAAATGTATCAAATCAATTGCTTGAATGTTTAGCCCAAACAACTTAAAAAGTTGAAGTAATGGGCTCCCAATTAGGATATAACAACACTGTAATTTTACCACACTAAAATTTGACAAAATTAAAGTAGGGTTTAATTTACTAGACCACGTCCTTTACTTTGCATTTACTCTGAGCATTTTTTTTGGAAATCCTTTAAAATTTGACTAAAAAATATATATATAACAACTTCAACATTCAAAAAGATAAATATTACTCTCTGAAAAAATATCACATAAGTTCAAAATGTCTGTAACATTTTGTCAAAACAGCTTTTAAAAATAAATCCAAAAGAAACATGATATTTGAAAACCTCACAACACAATACTTATTCCATCATAAAATAAGATTGTTAGCAGCCTGTTACAGAATACAATCTTTGGAATACAACATTTGTAAAATCGATGTAGTTATTACACCTCATTTCTATGACAAACACAACAACTCTTTCTGCAAGAAGGGGGAGGAGTGCAGACGCTAAGCAGGCATGCTGACCACACGTGCAGAGGCTGCGGAGGCCCAGAGGTTTCTAGACCCACCCTGCATGCCCAGGTCCGAGATGCCATCCGATCAACTGGGAGGAGCAGAGAAGGCACCTTGAATTCTAAGGGCTTCAGTTCATAATGGGGCACACACCTGTCTACCTTGAAGAAGACGGCACTTTGCTGGTGACCTTTATAATTTGTTTTTATTTTTGGAGGGGGGGAAGGAAGTTTGTTATTAAAAAAGTTCCAATACTGGCTGGCTGGGAAAGATAGTATGGATACTGGGAGAAAAAGAGGAGGGGGGCTGAGAAAGAACCAGAATCCCCAGCCTTGTAGGAAAACTTTTGGCCAGTGGCCCCGTGTGCTTGTGGAAACACCACAAGCATCTGCAGACATGTTAATACAGCAAACACAAGGACAACTCTCATAACCCAGTTTGGCAAAGCAGAGATGTGGGGATCTGTAGGCTCGGAAGAGGGAATAAAGGAGTCAGGCTGGACAGAGTGTGAAGAGCGGAGGCGCCAGTGGTGTTACTTACGTGTGCAGGGAAAGGCTGGAGTCTCGTCCTGCTCTCTTCGGGGTGGTTCACTTCTCCCATTGGGAGATATGGTTTCTGACCTGATCCCGTCTCGTACATGGACATGGGCCTACTGCCTCGGGCAGACGGACGTCGCTTTAAGGAAGAGTGGTTGGAAGTGTCTGTGTACTCAGAACCAGTTTGCACCTGATATATATTGGTTGTGGCCTGTTTCCTGAGGTTCGAATTTTCACTCTGGAGTGTTAGAAGCTGAAAAGAAATGTTTGGCAGTGGGACTGTGTTTTTCTACAGCAAGCAGAAAAAGCAAACACCAAATAAACACATACAACTATCAGCTTTAAACAATAAGAATAACAGCTAGATGGGTTGAAAGTAAAAGGCAACTATAAACAAGAACGTTTTCTTCTAGAATGAATGAAACACTATCAACTAACTTCATCACTTAAGCATATTAAGTAGCTTAATTTCTGAATGTGGAATTGTTGCAGTTTGGATTTTTAAAAAATGAAATGTTTACCCACTTAAAAATTGGTCATGGTGGGCCTGGGAAATGTTTGCAGGCAAGCTGGACTCTGGATTATTCTAAAGCTGTTTCTAGCAAGAGCTTGAGATCATTAAGACATCACTTAGGTAACTTGCTTTTCAAATGAGCCCTGAGCAATTTGCAAATGCCAAAAATGCCAGCGGACACCATGGAAGCAGCACAAAGATAACCAGAGTTGCTTTGCAAAGCAAGAAAGACAGTGAAGTTCAGTTTATGAAAAATCAGACCAGCTACTGCTTCCCAAAAAGCCAACAAGAAAAATTATGGTCAACAAGTTTTTATTACATAATACTCTTGATGTTCCAAACAATTTAGCACTTTTTTAAAAATAGAGAGAACCGAATCATGGTATGCTTGCTATATTAACATATCACGAAGAAAACTGGAAACCTATTGAGCTATGTTAACATCTTCATCGAAACGCTCCACGTAGCACGCTCACTTCCCTCTGGTGATCAATCAGCTTTCAGCCAGGGCCGGAATATGGGGCCTCTCTCTCCTTTGGCTTTGTCACCCAAAATCGCGACCATGATGGCGTTAGCTTTAAGCACTCTAATCTACCTGGCACCACCCCCATTTTAGTTTGAGGCTGTCCCTTGGAGACCCTGAATGCTTTTTCCATTCCTCACATGCAGGCTGCTTGATGGTGTTTGATGAATTAGAGTTAAAGGATCAGCAAGGCATTGTGTTACTCTTTGGCGTCTGGCATTTTAACACAATTAACTCAGTCCAGTCTGCACCGTGTCCTTTCCCTTGGTGCTCCTTCATCTTCCATGACATTTTATAAGCTGGGTGTGGTTCAGCTGTCTACTCTTTGACAGAGATTGTAAAATCTGACCAAATTCCCCACCAGGGCCAAGGCTTAAGTCCGCAAGCAACTGCATCTGCACCAGAAGATCGTTACTCTTTCAATAGCAAACCCATTCAGTGTTAGGAGTTACTTTCAATTTTTACTTAGGAAGCACCGATCTGTGAAAAATACACCAATAGTGGCTGCTCCTCTTCATTAATTAGCATCTTTTCCAAGCAACTGTCAAAATGTGAAAGATCAGATACAAATCATGCTACTTTGTCAACTATATATATATATATATATATAAACTTTACCTAACTTTGACATAAAATTAATACATCTTTGCTAAATAAACATATTCAACATACTTTATATGAAGAGTGCCAAACTTTTGTGAAAGCCTGACTTGCTGCCCCTGCCACAGAAATATCCTCATTCTCAGTTTTCTCAGTGATCCAAGGAATGACAGGTTGCTTCTCCACCACAAAGGCTTTCAGAGTATCACTTATATCTGCAACTCCCTTTCCAAAGAAGGAACAGCTGCAAAGTGACAAGCAGCCACTGAAAATTCCGACATTCCAGGGCACAGACCAGCCTAAGGTGCCTGTCCAAACTACGTGTTAGGGACCCCATATTCTAAAGTGAAATGGTCGAGGTCCAAAGCATGAGGAGCATAGCTGACACAGGCCTGTCAATCAAGGATTGGGTGTCTGGTCACGTGCTTGTCTGTCTATGTAAAAACCTTCTCTTAGCGCTATTTAGACAAGGCCTTGAAATCTGAAACTTTATCTTAACACTTGTCATGCCTCTGAAACATCCAGCCTAGATTTTGCTTGTATGTCTTTTGATGAGCACAAATTCTTGGTCTCAATTTTTAAAAATTTTAGTATTCTGTATTTGGAGGGATGTCCTTGGATAAGAATGAATGACGCTTATCTTAATAAGAACCAGACCACACTTTTTTGTTTGGAAGGAGTATAACAGGAAATGAAAAGTTACAGATAACTCGATAATTTCAGAAATCAAATGCATTTCTAAGACTTGAGGAAATAAGCTATGAGCAATGGCAAATAATTTCACTCTGCATTTCTTAAAGACGCTCAAGACATTTGCATTCAGAGATAGAAGGTTATCTCTGGTGATTTCTATAAGTACTAAAAGGAGCCTTACAAAATGAAAAAAAAGTGATGCTTAGCAGGTTGATTTACAGTGGCAAACTTAGCATGTTTCAAAAAAGGCACCTCAACAAAATTATTAGTTCAATTAATGGGTCAAACTATAATTCATTGACCAAAAGATATTTCAGAAAGGACAGGAAGTGCAAGCTCTGTATGTTATGGCAAAAGGGCTCTTGGTCTATCTTGTTCACAGATGCACGCCAGCCCCAGACAGAAAAAGTGTTTGATTAAAATTGGATTAATCTTCAGGCATTCCTGTCCTCTTCTATTATAGGTAGTGGAGCCATTTACCTAAGGAGGTCTCAAAAAATGATGTAGAACTCAACACCAAAAGACTCCTAGACCAAGCCCCAGGCCAGGGTGCAGCACAGAGTGCTTCCCTAACAAGCAGTGGGCACGGACCTCTTTTTAGTTCTATGGCCTTCCTTTAGGAAGCATCACTGAAAAGGGCCCAGCTACAAATGAAATGCACCATGTCCTCTGTTCTCGACAAGACAGCATTCCTCTTCAAATGACAGTATTAAGACACAGCTCTATACTTTGTTCTGTTTCTGTTTAAGGGAAGTGCACGAAATCTCATTTTGTAGACAACTGAATATTGAGAGCATTACCCACAAAGTCTTGGGCAGAATTTAGAAATTTTCAACTTCCTTTTCTTAGCAGTCTCATGAAGAATTACATATATAACCCCCATCTTTAGCAAATTCTGTGCTACTATTAGCCCCACTCCTTTCAGGGGTTAATATATTCACATATTTCTGGCTCTCTCAAAAGGCAGTGAATGAGTAAATGTTGAGCAAATGGGATTGTTTCTTATTAGCGCATAATTCTCACTAGTACAAACAAAAGGGTTTCTAATATTTATTATGAACCTGCTCTGTGGCAGGCCCTGCTCCAGGCTCTGAGGATGTCACAAATTAGTGGTTAAGTACTTATGAAAAATAAAGCGGGGATATGGGACAGGGTTGCCAGGGCGGGGGAGAGTAACAACTTGTAAGAGTGAATAGGGAGAGCACCCCTCGCATTGAGGGGGTGGGGTTTGGAATGCTGATAAGCATCCACCCGTCCAGGGCTGTCACCTGCTCTGTCTTCATGGTGTGATTATTCTTTAGAATGAGCAATACGAAGAATCACACCCATGGAGTGGCATCCAGGGCCCCAGGAAGCGCGACAGTGCAAGTGTTACTATAACTGATACAAACACTTACTAGGTTGCATGTTTCTTCTACTTGGGAAGCTTACTCTGGGTTTATTTCTAATCAAAGCTACTTCATCTGAAATATCCAAATACATACTGCTTCCAAAGACAGCTTGGCCCAAAGATTTTTAGGTCTGTTCCAATAACTGTTTTTCTTCCCTCTGACCACAAGCATCGCGCCTGGGATTCTTTCCTTATACTATGGGGTTAAAGAATCAATCATCCTGGCATTTATTAGCATGTTACCTTTTTCTGCATAATTCTCAGCTCGTCACTCAAGTTGTTATTCACCTTCATTAGCTGTTGTATCTTGGCCTCAGAAGCCACTAGAGCGTTTTTGACCTCCATAAATTCCTGCACAGTGACTGGTCCATCTGATAAATCTGAATCTAGGCTCTAAAAATAAATTGGGGAAAATGTTCACAATCTGAGACGATGATAACATTCAAGCTAACAGCTAAAGAATTTCAAATTCTGACCATGCCAGCTGGATTGCAAAGTTAATCAAACCAAATCAAGGCTTCTGAGGATGATGCAAAAATAAAACATAAAGGTGGGGTTACTATAATATTGGAAAATTTTTGAAGTCAATATTTTCTAATAGGCAGTGGGGCTACAAATCTACTCTTGACAATGACTCTCTAAGTGCATTTATCTTATCTTGTCTGCCTTTATCTTGCTCATTCAGTTTTCTTTTTTATTCATTTTTTCATTAATTCATTCATTCCAACAGGTTTTTATTGAGCATCAGGCAGTGTTCTAGGGGCTTGAGATATATAAGAAAACAGACAAATATTCTTGTTCTATGGTGTTTACACCCAACAGTGATTTGGGGGGGGGGGAATAAAAATAAGTAACTACATAACTACATAGAACGATAGAAGGTGGTAAGTACTGTGGAAAATAGATAAAATGGAGCAGGGTAAGGGGCTAGGGAGCTGAAGAAGGGCTGAAAGTGGGTGCATTTTAATCAAACAGAGGGGATAAGCCTTTGGACAGGTGAAATGTATGCAATAGCCTGAAGGAGGTGAGGACATTAGTCAAATGGCTGTCGGGAGGAAGAATGTTTCAGCCAACAGCAGAGCTCAGCTGGGGGGAGCGGGTGTGCAGGGCAGAGAGGACTAGGAGGTCCGTCAGTCCACAGAGGACCCCAACTTGTAGGGTCCGGTCATGACTTTCACTTTCACCTAGTGAACTTGGAGCTTCTAGAGAGACTGGGCAGGGGCGTTTCAGACAAGCGACTCTTGCGGTGCCCTCCACACTCCCTGCATCTGCCAATGGCACCACCATTCTCATGTGAGCTGGCACTCTCCAGAAACGTCTTCTGTAAGACTATCTCCCCACTTCAAACATCCACCTTATTGCCAGGGCCTGTCTATTCTATCTTCCTGTTCATCCATTCTCAAATGTTTGCTGAGCCCTTCTGTGGGCCGGGTTGGGGCCTAGGTCCTGGGGATTCAGCGGTGGGTGGACCAGCCAGACCTCCGCTGCCTTCTCCTCAGGCTCACACTCAGCTACAGTAATCTCTCTCCCATCTGGACCCTCCCAGCCCAAGTCCTGACACCGCCTGGGCCAGCTCTACCCTAACTGGGTTCCCTTCCTCTACTCGCTGACCCTCCAGAACACTCCTCCCAAAACAGAGGACCCCAAATGGCTGACCATGGCCTCCTGCCCTGCCTAGAAGCTTCCTGGGCTCTGCACTGCCTGCTGAGGTCCACACGCTTCAGTCTATTGTCATGTTCACCCACAGTGGAACCGCTGCCCTACTCTTCAGCTTTGAGTTCCACTCCTCTTAGGCTGTCTCTACACAGGACCAGGTTCCCCGCCCGCCCCCCCCGGACTCCCTTATTTCACTTTCTCTCTGCTTAGACCACCCTTCCCAGCCCCTCCACATGCCCAAACCCATGCATCCTTTAAGAACCATCCTATATACAAAGCTTTCTCTGATATTCTTCCGCACCAACAAGTTGTCTCCTCTCACCCCCCAAACCCCTTTCCGCTTGTGCTTCTTAGGACACATAGTGCTGTGTGCCTTTTATGGCAGTTATCTCTCCTATTAGGCAGTGACAGCCTCACAGGAATGGGACTAGACCTCATTCAGGAGAGTATTATCCAGAGAAGTCACTCGGTAAATATTTGTTGAAAGAATAAAACACACCAGTCTCTCCACACACGTTTTCTAAAATCACAGTTGCAGCAGGGCTGTGAGTAACTGGCTCAGGGACAAAGGACCTCCTCTTTTAAAACTGTCTACCTCGTTAGACCTTTGCTTTGCCCAAGCTCCTGGTAAACCCAACTTGACCTCCACAGCAGTTTTCACGGGGCTAGCCCGCAAGTGACTTACAAGTAAGGCAACTCTACAAAAGGAGAGATTTGAGAAAGAAACACCGACTCCCTTGCTGTGTGTCACCTCACCTTCTGCCTGTGTGCCTTGCTGGTAGTGGCCTCCAGATCTGGGTCTTCATCTGATGCCACACTGTCATAGTCCGGCTGGTCGTTGTCCTCACTCTCAATGCTGTGCTGGTTACTGATCGTTTTCAGTATGAGCTCCACATTGTCTATCAACAGAAGCAAACAACTATACTTTGGGCTTAACACCCCACCCCACCCCCAAAAAACAACTATTCGGAGGATTTTGAGGTTTAGTCATTTAAAAGACTGAAAGAGAATGACAGAAATAGCAGTGTTATGGTCACACCAATGTAGGGATAACAGAGCAAGTTATCAGTCAGAGACATGGCCTACTGTAAACTGCAGAGAAGTTTTAAGCATCCCTCTGAGCTACTCGCCAAATGTGGGCAAATTAATTAGATGGTTTAGGAAACAGCTGCTCAGGTTAAGGAGGCAGGTTTTCATGTTTCTAATCATTCCATGAGACAGTATAGCTCCAAATCCTGAAGATAAAGCTGTGGTAACGCAAGATTAACTACAGTTTCAAGTCTAACTGTAACTTGTTTACAAGGTGATGTCAAGTCAAACTAGAAAGGAAATAATTAAAGTTCAGCCTAGAAATTCGATGTTCAAAGAACAGGCACACTGATATTTAGTCAGCTGAGTGCCAGTGAGAGAGAGAGAGAAAAAAAAAAAGAATGACCCAGTGGACACGCACACGTGCCCATCAGAAAGTTATGGTCTACAGGGAGCAGGGATGATTCCATAGGCTGTAACACGTTGTGAATAAAAGATTTCATAAATTAGCCATGTCTCTCCAATTTCTTTCAGGCATTTAAATTTTTATCATTCATAGCCATTGATTCATGTTGTTCTATTTCATGCCAGAGTTTTTCTTAAGCACATACACTTACATTCATTATTTGCAGTAGGTATGGTCTAGAAAGTTGCTGTGAATTAGCAAATACTGAACCATTGTTCTAAGTGGAAACACAGGTTTAGGTTCCTGTGAGCCTCTGGTCCCAATATTTTTATCAGCCTATCAATGTATAACCTTGTTTTACACATACGTGTTTTTCTGTGTAAAGATTCTTTGATATATATTGTTGATTCTTTAATAGTGAGCTCACGGCCAATGGTATTGGCACATCATGGCCTTCCTACTTTTAGTAACCCTAGACAGCACTTCAGCACTACACTCGGGAGCCATTTTAAACAGTGAAATCACTAACAAATAGCACACAAATGTGAACAATATGGCATTAAATAAACATCAAAAAGGACACTTGTTTACAATTTAAGAGTTGAAACAGAAGGCAGAGCATCGCCTTGTTCAATTTCAGCTGGGAATGGGTGTTTTGGGTGACTCAAATTTTCTACCACTCTGCAAATGTCCACAAATTACCATGAAAGTTCTGTGAGGGCTGATTTTGGGGTTACAAATACATCTTAGTGAACAGGTGAATTTGCAAATATGGGATGGGCAAATAATGAAGACTGACTGTGTATTTATACTTACACGTGGCATATTCACTTGTACATAAATATGTGTATAAATGTTTTTCTTACAAAGCTGGGACTATAGTAAACTAAACTTTCTAAAAAATTAATTACTTTATACTATGTTATTAAATATTACTGAAAAATAAGTCTGTGCACTATTTGAATATGTGACTAATCATTGCTCTATTATTATTTGCTTCTAATAGTTTCAGTTTTATATATAACATATATATAAACATATGACATATATAATCATCTCTGATTATTTCCCCTCAATTAACACCTAGAAATGGAACCACCAAAGCAAAGAGTATGTACATTTTGAGACTCCAAATTTATGAAAGAACCCTTATCATTGCACCTTCGACAAAATTTAACAAACTTTCTTAGAACTTATCTATTCCTGGTTGAACCAGTAAAATCAACAAATTCTTGTCAGTTAATGATTACTTACTGTCTTTGGGGAATGTGATACTGACTGAAAACTTAATTTTATGGCACTGTTTAAATGCATTACAATTAAAAATTATTTCTATACAAACAAAAATTATTTCTATAATTAGAAAACAGCCAATGAGGATACAGCGTTAGGGCTGAGGAGGAAGTGTTTTCCTAAGCATGGACAGGACCCTGAGCTACTGAAATAACTCAACAGGGCACCTCAGAAATAGGCACTCGATGCTCTCTTTATTTTAAACCACAATAACTCTCACTGTAGACATCTAAAGTTTATAGTAACAAATTTTAAATATTTAGAACTCAGTTTTGTAGGTAAGCAACAGCAGGTGAGCTGTAATTCCAATCAAGAGGGTTTATTTTCTTAGGTAATCTAACAAGATCTAAGTCAGACTTTTGGGTTAATTTTAGGATGCAATTTTATAGGGAAGATGTGTGACCCAAGAGGAAAAAATCATATATAAGATAAATGTGAATAGCAGTTAATAACACTGAAATATTTATAATTCACCAGGGCTCCAAGAGGTAAACTTCGTCACAACATATTATCAGTAAAACTTATAGGGCTTTAACTAAGCTGTGTGTTGATGACTGCCTTAATTATTTTATAACTTTAAATCTAACACTTGTGTGAAGTTGACAAGGCCAAAGAAGCACACATTTATGTGTGTCTGAAACAGTTACCTTTTGAACCAGAGAGAGGACTGCCTTGCTGTCTCCTCTTGGCGTCACTGAGAATGTCGATAACCAGCGTGGCGAACTCATGGGCGTTAAACCGAGCTAACTTCTGTCTGCCCTGAACAGGAAAAGATAATCAGAAATACTCCCAAATGTAAAAACACACACATAAATATTCACATAAAACTAGTTGGACTTCTGTTAGACTTCAGCAAAAACCTTTCAGCATGATTGTCATTAACCAGAACCATAATTAAACCAAACGTTAACATTTTCATTGCAAACAATTTAAAACCATTTATGTAAGAGAACTATATAACATTTAAGCTCTTAACAATACATATTTAATTTGGGGAACAAAAATAAAATGATTCTATTTAATGCTTTTTTTCTAATATTAATTTAGTTTTGAAGTAGGCCTAGTAATGAAAAATAAGGAATTCCCATGTGAAAGCTGTACTTAATTTTGCGGTTTCTGAAACCAGTCCACAAATTGCAACAAATTGCTTTCCTGAAGTCTGCGGCAACTTCAACTCTTCAACCCATCTTGCCACATCCTTAACAGCTTAAGAGTACCCTTTATTATATGCTTTATTAATTTGATTGACGAAACTTTCATTAATGTCTAGGTTGCTTTCTTTGATTACTAATGAGGTTAAAGATTTCTTCACATTTGAAAGCCATTTATATTTCCTCTGTGAATTGTTTTATGTTCTCATCCAGTCATCTCACATCTACCACTTTTGTTATCAATTTGTGAGTTTTGTGTGTGTATAAAGAATATTAACATTTGAATCAATCAAAAAATTTTAAATACCTATCCTGGGAAAAGAAAATACCAAGATATCAACTATTCTCAAAAGATCACTACTAGTTACTTTTCAGACTTGGCCACTTGCCTGGTTCCGTGTCGATGAGTACTCAGGATTGACCGGAAGGAAGGGAACGACGGTTGTTTCGGTCACCAGGGCGCTGTGGTTTTGCGTGGCAAGCCAGACTAGCCAGAGGAAAGAGCCAGAGATAGAATCTCATCACCACGGGTGTGTCACGGCTCCTCTGAGAGCCGCGGCCCCCGCCTTACTAGGGAGACTCCAGAAAGCACACTCCGAAGCCAACATATACAAAAGGCAATGTCCACACACGTGTTATCAGGACAGTAGAAATTGGGCAAGTAAAACACTGAGGCTGGCAGCTTGTCACTGCCCACTGATAACAGAAGCTTATTAGATAAAGCCACGTTAAGTCACCTGCATCAGTCTCTCGCCTGTCAACTTCATCGTACACATCCATGGCAAGTTCTTCAAACAAATGATTACTTAGCTGAAAGTAAAAAAATATCAGGAACACAAGGGACAAGGATTAACACTAGCAGAATGAGCGGGGACTGTGACTTATTCACCCTTTTATTTCCAGTGTCTTATCCAAGCCAGTGCTTAGTAAATACCCACTGCTACACAGACAATAACATTTCCAATATAGTACAGATCCTCTAGAAATATCCACAGCAGCCTCACTCCTCTATGGTAAGCAGATAAGAGGCATCTAAAGTGCCTATCTAAACACAGCTCCAGGTGTCTTCCTGTGAAATCACCTTTTAAGTCTCCTCCTCTGCTCTTGAGAATGTTTGCCAGTTTCCCCAGGTATAAGGGATCTGAAATCCTTGGCAGGATAAAGATGCCAAAGCATGCTATTTTGAGAGGACTGAACATGCCACTGCACAAAAACATCACTCATCACCCAGATGTAGGCCTATTAGCTATCCTACTCAGTCACAGCCTTCCAATCCCCAGAAGAACTGAGTGGACTCAACAATAGATAGCCTGTCTATTTAGTATGCTGCGCAAGGTCAGCCAACAAAACAATCCCCCCACAGACTGGGTGCTTGCCTGGCAGCAACCGGGATGGGTAGGATAGTCAAGGTCTTCCTCAACCCAGACGAGGCTAAGTCCCTGCCAGGGTGGCTCCGGCTCGCTCTCCATTTTCCTCATAAAATGCACCCTGACGGTTGGTGGCTGTTACTGTTTAATTGACTGCTTCCCCATTCTATGAGGATAGATGCTGGATTTGTTCTATTCTCAACTGTGTTCCACACACGCACACACAGTACCTGGCACTGAGACAGCGCTCAGTACATATCCACTCACACACTGACCACAGGGTATTTCATGCAGCAATTTTAAATGCTGGCTACACGGACCTCATGGAAACTTGTTAAAATGGGTATAATACATTGTTGGGTGAAAAAAAGCAGGATATAAAATGCTATAATTATGATTGAGCTTCAGTTAAAAAAAAACAGGCATCTAAAAGAATTAGAAGAAATATACCAAAATATTGAGCCTGAATCCATTAAGAATATAGTGAATAAGGATGATTCCAAATTTTCTCTAGTGTGGCTATATTACATTTATAACCAAAAATAAACTCTGAGAGTCTTATTGCTGGAAACAGTGATGAAGGACTAGAAACCCGAGCTAGCATCATAAATGTCTAGTCTCTTTCCTCTTATGGGCTGTAAGGTAATGCTATTACCGTATTTGCCGGCGTATAAGACGA